TTTCCAGAGGTTCTGTACTTAAATATAACTGGGGACTCATGGACGCCCCCGTCCTCCCTCTCTTTTTAATTATGCTAAATGGATTGGCCCTTTAAGAGGGTAGTTTATTTCTGCACTGTCCACATTACCCAATTTTAATTGTTTTCAATGCTTCTCTTATTTCTAACTTTGGAGCATCTAAAACATCTCAGCAGGAGAGCATTTCCCGTTGAAATAATCAGTAGTAGTAGTAATTACATATATGCTCTCAATATAATTCCATGTGGAATGTGGTGCCATTTAAGTTATATTTTACAAAAGAGCTGGATCTCCCCCACAAAGTGTCCTGAGGACTCCATAAAGGACATCTTGAATGAAAAGCGATTGCTTAGGACAATAAATAACGGACATCAGAGCAGCTTCCTCTGAGAAATATGATTAATCCTGACATTAATCACTCCAATAGCATCTAGCAATTTTTAAAGCAAAGCCTGGAACAGGTAACGCGCACACACACGAGGCTGGACGTGGTAGAAAAGCTGGGCCGTGGGGTGGAGGCCAGACGGACACACCGGGACCCACCTCCACGCTCACCAGCTGTGTGACTCTGGGGGAGTCCCTTCACCTTTCTGAACCTCCACTGGCTCCCCTGTGAAATGGGGAAAAGCAGGTTTTTGCATCATCTTAAATAAGGGACACAGGGGCTTCCCTGGTGGCACAGAGGTTAAGAATCCACCTGCCAATGCAGGGGACCCAGGTTCGAGCACTGGTCCAGGAAGATCCCACATGCTGCGGAGCAACTAAGCCCGTGCGCCACGACTACTGAGCCTGTGCTCTAGAGCCCGTGATCCACAACTACAGAAGCCCGCTCACCTAGAGCCCGTGCTCTGCAACAAGAGAAGCCACCGCAATGAGAAGCCCTCGCACCACAACGAAGAGCAGCCCCCACTCGCCACAACTAGAGAAAGCCCACACACAGCAGCGGAGACCCAGCACAGACAAAAAACTTTAATTTAATTTAATTTAAATAAATAAATAAAAGGGATACAAAAGGCCCTGACCAGGACGGGGCACATGACAGGGACGCAATAAATGGTGGCTGTTAGATGCCGGGTGGTGGACGTGAGAGTTACATTCCACTGGCTTGGAGGCAGACATGAGTGTCAGGGACGCAGCGATTTGGGCAGGGCCAGAAGAGAAACACCAGGCAGGGAGGAACTCCATTCCCAGAGCCTCAGCACGTGTGAGCCAATGCTAAGCTAAATGCCCAAAGACCTCGGAGGGAGCTTTTGCTGCAACAAAAAACTTTGGATCATTGTGAGAATCTCCGGCACGGCGCCACTGTGTTGCAGTACCTTCCAGGCTCTGTTTGTGATGTGATTCATGCCAGATAAAGTACGGACCTCGAGAAACACAAGAAGGTGGCATCTACTAACATGCCAGACAAAATCCCTACGCAGAGACCAGGTAAGGAAAGGCCTGGAGGAAACCAAGTAGCACAGACCCAGGGTGGGGACATGGGGACAGGTCACGGGGAGGCGGCTCCACGCAGGTCGCCGAGGCAGCTTCTCACACACTCTGTACTCTGGTAACGGTGCAATGAGGCGAAATGGTAATGACGGCTTTTGGTGCTAAATTGGAGCTTCCATAATCAGAATCTAGGGGGAGTAAGGAATGTGGTCCAATGGGGTTCACAGAGAACAAGTGAACAGACGAGAGACGATAAAAGGGCTGAGTTTCTTCAGTCTACAACCTCTAAAATCTAATGTGAACATTTGAAATTCCATGTGAGTGTAAGTTTGGTTTTCTTTCCTATTTCCTCTATTCACATCCCTGACAGCGAATATTTTTGGATAATTCTTCCTGTGGGGGAGTTGTTTGCTGGTCGTCCTCAAGTTACTCTACGCGAGAATGTATCTACACAATGATAAATGCGGGCTTCTGAAACTGACTCACAGGGACCCAGTTATGGCTTAGAAAGCAAGAAAGAAAAACTAAATGGCGGGTCTTTGAGATCACCCTGTTCAACCTTCTCTTTTAGAGACGAGGAAACGGGGGCACCAAATGGATCAAGAGACTTTCCAAAGTCCCACAGTTAATGAGGGCAGATCCAAAAATTTCTGCCCCTACGCATCAAACAAGAGTGATAATGGGATAAATCCAGATGAATCTGTCCTCATATATGACGGGAAAGGAAGACAACTTTTAAAATGCTTAGATAACTGGGTTTGAGCGTTATCTTCCAAGTCTGGTTTAAACATTAGTATCACATTGTACAAGATGGTTCTGACACTGGAATTTGATTTTTTTTGTCTAAATATGATGTCACATGGGCAAAATTTTACGAGTTTGATACTCCCTGCTGCTCGATCCCAGGTACCGTTCTAACATTTTCAGTGGAGGCAGAAATTGGCCCAACTTACTAGATGAAAACTGGAAACGGCTACCCAAGCTTTAAGTCCATCTGCCCTTTGAATCAATGGGTCCACTGCGAAAATTCTGCCCTACGGTGTATTCACAAAAGCATGTATCAAGAACGCTCACTGCAGCAGAGATTAGAGTCAATTTTGGATGAAAATGTGAGAGAGACTGAACTTTAAGAGAGCATCACTTGGAAGAGCAGAACAATGACAACAACCTCCATGTCCACCAAAAAGGGAGACTGGTTAAATAATGACAGCATAAACACGTGATGGAGTATCATACAGCAGCTAAAAGCAATGAGGATGACCTCTATGCACTGATAAGAAAAAAACCCTCCTCTAGTAGTAAGTGAAAAAAAATCAAGGTACATAACAGTATGTAGGTGTGTTGCGTAGTATGCACAACCTTTTTCTGGAAGAACATGCATGAAACAGTTAGTGATATTTACCTCCCAAGAGAAGAACTGCAGAGGACTTTCACTTTTCGTTTTACGCACTTTATGAAGATTCAAACCATATGCATGTATTACCATTCGCTCTCTGCACATCTCTGAAGATTGCTCTATACCACCTAGTGGAGGTTATTGTATTTTTTAACTTTGGAGTTAGAAAGATGCTAAGATAACTGGAAAAAAGCGGGCCCTGTTTTCTTTTTTTTTCTTTTTAATTTAACTCAAAATAATGAATCCAGTGAGATCACGACAAGAGTTCACTTGAAATATACTGAACTTGAAATTCTGCTTGAAAAAACAGAAATAAATCTCCCTTTTCTTGACTTTCATAACTTCTCAGTCCAGAACACTGGACATTCTCTTAAACAGACCATGGTGTATTTCTTCGAATGGCAAGAAATCTTCCACGCTTTTCAGAGAATGAAGACAGTCTTGGCAAGTATTATCCAACCCGTTCATGCTCTGCTCCAGGCACCTGACTGTCTCCCCCTCACCCCACTCCCGCCCCCGCCCCAGGGCCACTGCACAGGCCACCCCGTCTGCCCGGTTTGACCCTTCTCCCACCTTCCCCTGATCCTTCTTGAGATCTCGGCTCAGTCACCTCTTCCTGGGGACTCCCAAGTGTCCTCCGCCTCCCTGGCATTACTCACCACTCTGGAGCGCCACATCCTTTTTTCGTGCCACTTTCCATCATTTCAAGTTTACACTGATGTTTGCCTTTCTTTGGATTGAGCTGTCTTCCACCCTCAGCTGAAAGCTCTACAAGAACAGTGGCAACACCTGTTTTTCCTTAACACCGGACGCCCAGTGCCTCTGACAGTGGGGCACTTCACAAATACGGGAATGAATGAATGCAGTCTGGACATCACTCCAAAGCCCAGTGACGTGTTAAAAAAATCAACCAACCTGTGTCACTCTGGCTCAAACCCTCTCATGTCACCACTGACTCAGAGTCCCTTGGCAACCTCCTCCCGCTTCACTGCCCTCCAGCCACGCTAGCGTCCCTGCTGATCCTAGAATCCTCCGGGCACGCCCCTACCTCCATTGCATGTGTGTAGGAAGTATTCCCCCTGACTTCTGCACAGCTTACCATTTTACTACCTTCAGACCCTGGATCAAATGTCACAACTTTAGAGAGGTCCCGGCTGGCCACCCAATCTGAAATAATCCACGCTGTCAACTCCTGGCCCCTCACTCTGCTCTACTGTCCTGCACTGCATTTATAACCTGACATTACATTAAATATTAAACTTAATTATCCCTTTAGGGTCTGTTTCTCCTACCTAGAAGCCTATGAGTGCAGGTACTGTGTTTTATTCGACGCTATTATCCTTAACCCCAACAGCACCGCAGGCCCTCAATGAATGTTTGTGCACAGGCATATCAACGCCAACATCCGCACAGAGAGAGAAAAGCAAAAAGGAAAAACCAGAGACAGGGTTAAAGCTGGCTACTTTGTCATCCTAAAACCCGTAAATAACCTCTTAGTTGCATCCACGGGCGTCAACCACATTTTGTTTTTCTTAATAAATGAGCTGAATGAGTAAACATTCTCAAACCTCTGACTAATAAAGCAGATGACACTGACAATGAACTATAAACAAACTATGAAAGGGCTTGCTTGTCCTTTCATTCATAAAATAAACAAAGTGAATATGACTTTAAAAATAAAGAAAACATTATTCCAAGAGCAATAAACTTTATGAACTGTACTAAAACCTCCATGTGTTTATCCCAGCACGTATATTTGACAATTAAAAACATCAGGACTTCCTGGGGGCGCAGTGGTTAAGAATCCACCTGCCAATGCAGGGGACACGGGTTAGATCCCTGGTCCGGAAAGATCACACATGCCGCGGAGCAACTAAGCCCGTGCGCCAAAACCACTGAGCCTGCGCTCTACAGCCTGCGAGCCACGCACCACAACTACTGAGCCCATGTGCCACAACTACTGAAGCCCGTGTGCCTAGAGACCGTGCTCCGCAGCAAGAGAAGCCACCGCAATGAGAAGCCCGCACGCAGCAATGAAGAGTAACCCCCGCTCAGCGCAACTAGACAAAGCCCGCACGCAGCAACAAAGACCCAATGCAGCCAAAAATAAATAAATAAATAAATTTATTTTTTAAAAAATCAAGCACTCACTTACCCATTCTCCTAAAATGCGTGACACGGCTTCATTGGCTCTTGTCATGTTCCTGCAGGCCAGGATCACATGTGCACCATGGAGGGCGAAAGTTTTGGCGGTTTCAAACCCTACGGTTTAAAGGAAAATCAAATTTAGAAAACACAAATGCAAAGCACTGAGCCATACTGAATGGCCTTTATTGAGTGCCAAACGCATTACCCTAGTGGTTCTCGACCAGACTCGACTGTGCCCGCTAGAAGATATTTGCAAATAACTTGAGACGTTTTTTTCAGTAGTCACAGTTTGAGGTGGCGTGCTACTGGTATCTAGCGGGTAAAGGCCAGGCATGCTACAAAATATCCTACAATGCACAGGACAGCCCCCTCAGCAAAGAATCATCTGGCTCAAATATCTACAGGGTTGAGGTTGAGCAAAGCTGCCCCAGGAACCAAGTGATTTCAAAGGTGAAGGCCAAGCCACAGAAGAGCTCGCGGCATAGCCAGCCTTTGAACCACTGCTTAATAACAACCAAATCGTGTGATCAGTATAAAGAGTAAGGATACATAAATATTTAGACATGGTCACTGCCCTCCAAGAGTTTACAGTCTAATAAGAGAACACTGGAAAGTAAACCTGGAAAGTAAAACAACAACATTTGTTAAGTTCCTGACAATGTGCTCTGCACTATTTCCAGCACTTCTGCTTCCAGCGATGGCAACTAGGTTTCCTAGACCCACCCTCCCACTAAGAACAATTAGAAAAGCTGGACAAAACAACACACACACACACACACACACACACACACACACCCTCTCTGAAGGCATCAGAGGAACACTATGCTTGAGAATTTGGGGGGCCAACATCTGGAAAAGCTGAAAAGCCAAGAGAGGTGAGCCAGCATTTGGTGCTTCTATACCCAGTGAAAACACCCTTCAAAAAAAAAGGTGAACAAAATTTTTAACAAACAAAAGCTGAGGGAATATATCACCAGCATGTCTACACTAGAGGAAATACTAAAGAATGCTCTTCAGATAGGAGGAAAATGACCCTAGATAGAAATCTCGAGATGCGGAAAATGACAGAGTAACATAAAGGGTAAACAGATGAAAAAATCTAAATGATAATAGTATTAGTTTGTAAATTTTACAATACCTAGTGAGCATTAGTATACTGATAATAATGACATATAACCTAGGAGGAAAGTACTTGGTATTGAAATATTCTAAGACCCTTGCATTGTCCAGGAAGTGATAAAATACTAATCTGTATGAGACCTTAATAAGTCAAAAATATAATCTCTAAAATTACTGCTGAGAGATGTAATGCCTCCAATTACCACTGAGAGAACAGTAAAATACAAATTTAACCAGTTAATACAAAGGGGAAGAAGAATAATTTTTTAAAAAAAGGCAAGAAGAACAAGGAATGTAAAACAAGTTAGATAAATAGAAAGCCAATAATAAAGTGGTATATTTAACCCCAAATATATCTGTAATTACATTAAAGTGGACTAAAAATTGCAATCAAAAGACAAAGACTGTCAGACTGAACAAAACACATATACAATATGCTCCTTACAGAAGTGTGTATGTTATGTTTTATACCCTTAAACATAAGGATAAAGAAAATTAAAAGAATGGGAAAAGATATACCATGTAAAGATGAACCAAAAGAAGTATTATAAGAGAAAAAACTGAATATTTCATAATGGTAAGTTCTAATCCATAAGGAATATGTGACAATTCTAAATTTATACACATACACACATGTCAAAAGTTCACAGGAGAGCTTCCCTGGTGGCGCAGTGGTTGAGAGTCCGCCTGCCGATGCAGGGGACACGGGTTCGTGCCCCGGTCCGGGAGGATCCCACGTGCCGCGGAGCGGCTGGGCCCGTGAGCCATGGCCGCTGAGCCTGCGCGTCCGGAGCCTTTGCTCCGCAGCGGGAGAGGCCACAACAGTGAGAGGCCCGCGTACCGCAAAAAAAAAAAAAAGTTCACAGGATTAAGTGGAGAAATAGAGAAGTTCATAATCAGAGTGGAAGATTTTAACCTATCAGTAACATAAAAATGTCGATAAACAGGAAAGAATAGAAGATCTGAAAGTAACTGATCAACTGGAAATAACTGAATATGCTTAAACACTGAACACAACTGCAAACGTATATTCAAGTACTTAAAGAGTATTTACCAAAATTGAACATGTGCATGGCCAGAAGTCTCAACCAATTTCAAAAGATTAAAATTGTAAAGCATGGCCTTGACCACAGCAGAATAAAATCAGACCTCGACACAAGATCCTAGAAAACTCCCTTATCTGGAAACTAAGCAACACATTTCTAAATAAGAAACTGTGACTCCAAAAATTACAATGAAAATCAGAAAATATTTTAAACTGAATTATTACAAAAATTCTACATATCAAAACTTACAGAACACAGGTAAAGCCATGGATGAAGGCCAATCTACAGCCCTAAAAACATATATTAGAACAGAAAATGAGCTCAGCATCTATTAAGTAAGAAAAATTTTAAAGCAGCTAATTACCTAAAGAAAGCAGAAGGAAGGCAATGAAAATAAAGACACAAAATTAAAACAAACATAAAATACAGAGGAACAAAGGACCCAAAAGTCATTTCCTTGAAAAATGTAATAAAACTGAAAAAGGGCTAGTGAGAGAGACAGAGAGAGAGCGTGTGCAAGCGAGCACCAGGACACACACTTGAGTGTACAAGTGAGCACACAAATGGCAGATAGCAGGGGAGAACAAAAGGACATCACTACAGATCCTAGTAAAAAGATATGATGGGGACTTCCCTGGTGGCGCAGTGGTTAAGAATCCGCCCGCCAATGCAGGGGACATGGGCTCGAGCCCTGGTCCGGGAAGATCCCACATGCTGCGGAGCAACTAAGCCTGTGCGCCACAACTACTGAGCCTGCGCTCTAGAGCCCGCGAGCCACAACTACTGAGCCCGTGTGCCACAACTACTGAGCGTACATGCCACAACTACTGAAGCCTGCGCGCCTAGAGCCCATGCTCCACAACAAGAGAAGCCACCGCAATGAGGAGCCTGTGCACCACAACGAAGAGTAGTCCCTGCTCACCGCAACTAGAGAAAGCCCGCATGCAACAAGAGACCCAACGCAGCCAAAAATTTTCAAATTAAAAAAAAAATTTTTTAAGCAAAAATAAAAAGATATGATGAACAACTTTACACCAATAAATTTAAGATATAGTTGAAAAAGACAAATTCCCAGAAAGACACCACTTAAAAATTGCTGCAAGGAGAGAAAGAATTGAAAAAATGTATATTTTTAAAGAAAATTCTCAAAATGAAAACTGTGGATCCATTTGTCTTGAACAGTAAAGTCTACCAAACGTTTAAGAAAATAAAAACGCCAACCTTACACCAACTC